CCCTGCTGCTGGAACGCGGCGGGCAGCCCCTGCAGGCTGGGGCCCAGGGCACTGTAGGCCGTGTGCAGCTGCTGGACCAGGCCACAGACCCTGGCCAGGGCCCCCGCACCCCGCGCCTGTGGGGAGAGGGAGCCAGTGAGCGGGGGCCCCGGGTGGGGGACCACGCCCTGCACCCCACGTACCTCTGTGGCACTCGTGTCCTCCACGCTGGCGTCAGAGCCCTGGTCCAAGCCCTGCTTGACCTTGTCAATCTGGAAAGAGAGCCCAGTGGGGTGAGGGTGGCCGCTGGAACACACCGGCCACTCAAGCCCTCCCTGCGGTGGGCGTTCAGGTCTGGTGCCGGAGCCCGGCGTGCAGAAGGGCCTCCCGCTGAGGGTCTGTTGTGGTCACGTGGCGCGTCAGTAATCGGGTCAGCCGGTTACAGCGGCAGGACCCCACATGACCGACTGCTCAGTTCAGGTCCCAACCCAGCAGCTTGAAAACACGCGACATGTGAGCTTGTGTTCCCGAGACCTGAGCGGGTCACGGAGGGAAAGGAACTGTAGCGCGGCCATGCCCTGGGGAGGGGATTTCTCACCCGTTCTCGAGTACTCGCGCCCCACAGCATTCATGTATATGTTAAGGTTTATTTAATTCCACTCATTACTATTTTTTAATTTGACCAGAGAAAGGGAACGCAAGAAAGCAAGCCGCCAGGTCTGGGACTCGAACCGCGGTCAGCCGTGTGGGAATCCAGCACCTTTAACCACCATGTCGCCTGCTGGCCCCTATAGCGTGTATTTTTAAAAAAGCATCAAGAGGGGACTAAGCGTGGCACAAAAGTTAAGGCACTCCGTCCTACGTGGCCACCTGTGCAGTTCCAGTCCCGGACCCCGTGACTGGAAACTCACACCGGCGCATGTGCGTGCGTACCCAAAATCCCGAGAGGAGAAGGGAAAAGGGATTGCGGCGTGGCCTACCCAGGGGGCTGCCTTCTCGCTTTCCCACGTTCTGTCCCCATCCCTCAATGGCAGCATTATTAGCCCAGGATGGCCACGAGGCGGTCAGGGAGGTCAGTGGTGTCTGCGGGACGCTCACCCCTCAGAACCTCTCCACGGCGCCTCAGTGCCCGCGGGTAATCCAGCCCCTCACCGTGGCCATGGCCTGGCTCCTGGCACTTCCCTGGCCTTGTCCCCTCACGCACACTGACCAGTCCGGCCCCGAACCCTCCCAGCAGCCCCTGCCCCGGGAACAGATGCCCATACCCGAGCCCCCCAGCTGCTGCTGTTCCTGTCCGCCTCTCCTGGGGATGGGGATGGGCTTGGCCTGGGGAGCTCTCTGTCCCACTGTCCCTGTTCCCCCAGGTCACCCCCTCCCCACCCCCGTACACGGATTGCCACACTCCCTCCCCGTCCCTGCGTGCCCGTGTGGGGAGGCGCGAAGGAGTCTTCTCACCAGCCCGAGGGAGTCCTGGAGCCGCGCCAGGGCGTCCCTGGCTTGGAACTGGCCGTGCTGCAGGTGGCTCAGGGCGTGCTCGAAGGCGCGCTGGCGGAGCCCGGGGGCCAGGTCTCCCAGACGCACGAAGTAGCTCTTCTGGTCGGCCGAGAGCACCCGGGGCCCGGGCTGGGACGCGGCCAGCTGATCTGGGCAGGACAATGGCGGGACTCGCACCCTGAGCTCAGGCAGGGACCACGCCCGCCCAGGGGCCCACCCTGTGCCCTGCTCACCTTGCTCCGCAGCGCTCATGGGGAGGAAGATCTCCCCTAGACCCTCCGATTCATCCTGCAGCGCCGTGAAGCCCGTGGCTCCTCCGTGGCCGTGGGTGGCGGCCCCGTGGGGGAATGTGGTCACATCTAACGCAAGACCTAGAGTGGCCACTGCAGCTTCTTGGGCCAGTTCCAGGCTGGCACAGGGCGCGTTCAGGGAGCTGCAGACCCCAGAGGACAGAGCGTCTTGGGGGCTCAGGGCAGTCTGCACCTCTCCTCTGTCCTGGGCACCGGGGCTGGTGCCACCACCCACGGCAGCGTCTCGGGTCCCAGGTGCCCGGTTTTGGATGGCCCCTGTGGCCACGTTTGCTGCCTCTTGGAGCCCAGTGGGCACGGCGTCTTCGGTGCTGGCTAGCACTGTGGTCGTGCCCACATCGGCCTGCAGAGACCCCATGGACATGTTCATGGCCCCCGTGAGCCCAGTGGACACCGTGTTCTTGGTGCCTGTGAGGACGGCCTTGGAGGTGTCTAGACCAGTCTGGACGGCCCCTTTGGCCATGTCCACGGCTCCCAAGACCCCCGTGGACACGGTGTTTTTGGTACCAGTGAGGACAGTCTTGGAGGTGTCCAGACCAGTCTGGACGGCCCCTTTAGCCACGTTGGCGGCCCCCATGAGCCCTGTGGACAGCGTGTTCTTGGTACCAGTGAGGACGGCCTTGGAGGTGTCTAGACCAGTCTGGACGGTCCCCTTGGCTACGTTCATGACCCCCATGAGTCCGGTGGACACCGTGTCTTTGGTGCCAGTGAGGACGGCCTTGGAGGTGTCTAGACCAGTCTGGACGGTCCCCTTGGCTACGTTCATGACCCCCATGAGTCCGGTGGACACCGTGTCTTTGGTGCCAGTGAGGACGGCCTTGGAGGTGTCTAGACCAGTCTGGACGGTCCCCTTGGCTACGTTCATGACCCCCATGAGTCCGGTGGACACCGTGTCTTTGGTGCCAGTGAGGACGGCCTTGGAGGTGTCTAGACCAGTCTGGACGGTCCCCTTGGCTACGTTCATGACCCCCATGAGTCCGGTGGACACCGTGTCTTTGGTGCCTGTGAGGACGGCCTTCGAGGTGTCTAGACCGGTCTGGACGGTTCCTTTAGCCACATTCACAGCCCCCGTGAGTCCAGTGGACAGTGTGTCCTTGGTGCCAGTGAGGGCAGCCTTCGACGTATCCAGGCCAGTCTGGACGGCCCCCTTGGCCACGTTGGCTGCCCCTGTGAGTCCAGTGGACAGTGTGTCTTTGGTGCCTGTGAGGGCCGCCTTCGACGTATCCAGGCCAGTCTGGACGGCCCCCTTGGCCACGTTGGCTGCCCCTGTGAGTCCAGTGGACAGTGTGTCTTTGGTGCCTGTGAGGGCCGCCTTCGACGTATCCAGGCCAGTCTGGACGGCCCCCTTGGCCACGTTGGCTGCCCCTGTGAGTCCAGTGGACAGTGTGTCTTTGGTGCCTGTGAGGGCCGCCTTCGACGTATCCAGGCCAGTCTGGACGGCCCCCTTGGCCACGTTGGCTGCCCCTGTGAGTCCAGTGGACAGTGTGTCTTTGGTGCCTGTGAGGGCCGCCTTCGACGTATCCAGGCCAGTCTGGACGGCCCCCTTGGCCACGTTGGCTGCCCCTGTGAGTCCAGTGGACAGTGTGTCTTTGGTGCCTGTGAGGGCCGCCTTCGACGTATCCAGGCCAGTCTGGACGGCCCCCTTGGCCACGTTGGCTGCCCCTGTGAGTCCAGTGGACAGTGTGTCTTTGGTGCCTGTGAGGGCCGCCTTCGACGTATCCAGGCCAGTCTGGACGGCCCCCTTGGCCACGTTGGCTGCCCCTGTGAGTCCAGTGGACAGTGTGTCTTTGGTGCCTGTGAGGGCCGCCTTCGACGTATCCAGGCCAGTCTGGACGGCCCCCTTGGCCACGTTCACGGCCCCCGTGAGCCCAGTGGACACCGTGTCTTTGGTGCCAGTGAGGACGGCCTTGGAGGTGTCTAGACCAGTCTGGACAGTTCCTTTAGCCATGTCGGCGGCCCCCATGAGTCCAGTGGACACCGTGTCTTTGGTGCCAGTGAGGACGGCCTTCGAGGTGTCTAGACCAGT